GATGGGGGGGATAAGGGACACATATGTAATATCATAATCAATAAAGAAAAATATAATATAATTAAAATTACATAATCAATGGAAAAATATCCTCAGGTAAAGATTAAATAAATAAATAAATAAAATTTAAAATGCAAAAAAAACACCTTAGCTTGCTATAAATTTAAAAGATAATAAGAAAGGAGTCTAAGCATAACAATAAAGTCATCAAACTATAAAAAAAAGGGAGCAAGAGAAGAAGAAAGGAATTATAAAACAGCCAGAAAACTATCAACAAAATGGCAATAAGTACATAGCTGTCAATAATTACTTTAAATGTAAGTGAACTAAATTCTCCAAACAAAAAAACACAGAAGTGGCTGAATAGATTAAAACACAAGACCCATCTATATGGTGACTACAAGACTTCAGATGTACAGACACACACAGAATGAAAGTAAAAGGACAGAAAAAGATGTTTCATGCAAATGAAAGCCAAAAGAAGGCTGGGGTAGCTATACTTCTATCAGACAAAAGAAACTTTAAAACAAAGTCTGTAATAAAAGACAAAGATGGGCATTACATAATAATAAAGGGGTCAATCCAACAAGACAATAAACATTAGTAAATGTTTATGAACCTGACATAGGAACACCTAAATATATAAAGCAAATATTAAAAACCTAAAGAAAGAAATTGACAGCAATACAATAATAGTAGGGGATTCTAATACCCCACTTACATCAATGAATAGATCATGAGACAGAAAATCAGTAAGGAAACATGGGCCTTAAAGATGTACTTAACATATAGAGAACATTCGATCCAAAAGCAGCATAATACACAGTCTTCTCAAGTGCAAAAAGAACATTCTCCAGGATAAATCACATGTTAGGCCACAAAACAAGTCTCAATAAATTTAAGAATACTGAAATCATATCAAGCACCTATTCTAACCACAGAGTGTAAAACTAGAAATTAAAAAATCTCAAATATGTGGAGGTTTTACAATATGCTACTGAACAACCAATTGGTCAATGAAGAAACCAGAGAAATCAAAAAGTACTTTGAGACAAATGAAAACAGAAATACAACATACTAAAATCCATGGGATGCAACAAAAGCAATTCTAAGAAGGAATTTCATAGCAATACAGGCCTACCTGAAGAAACAAGAAAAAACACATATAAATAAGCTGAGTTTACACCTAAAGGAACTAGAAAAAAAGAAACAAAACAAGCCCAAAGTTAGTAGAAGGAAAGAAATAATAAAGACCAGAGCAGAAATGACTGTAATAAAGACCAAAAATACAAAAAAAAAAAAAAAGCAATAAAACTTAGAACTGGTTCTTTGAAAAGATAAACAAATAGACAAACCTTTAGTTAGAATCACCAAGAAAAAAAAAGAAGCCTTAAGTAAAAAATGTAAGAAGTTACAACTGATACCACAGAAATACAAAGAAGCATAAGAGACTACTGTGAACAATTATATACCAAAAGAAATAGATCCAATTCCTAAAAACATACAATCTTCCAAGATTAATTCATAAATAGAAAATCTGAATAGACCAATTACTAACAGGAGACTGAATCAATAATCAAAAATCTCCCAACACACAAAAGTCCAGGACCAGGTAGCTTTACTGCTGAATTCTGCCAAACATTTGAAAAAGATTTAATGCCTATCTTTCTCAAATTCTTCCAAAAAACTGAAGAGGAAATAACATTTCCAAACTCAATTTTGAGGCCAGCATTACCGTGATAACAAAACCAGACAAAAACAAAAAATTATAGGCCAATATCATTGAACAAAGATGCAAAAATCCTTAACAAAATATTAGCAAACCAAATTCAACAAAACATTAAAAGGGATGCAAAGATGGTAGAATATTCACAAGTTAGTCAGCATGATACAACACATCTATACTAATAAAAGGGTAATATGCTAATTAGACCAGGTAGACCAGATATCTTCCGGACGTCCGACTTCCTTCTGGACAAATCCACGGTGGTGGAGGCAGTTAGGGGCGATCAGGCCAGTAGGGGTGCAGTTAGGGGGCAACCAGGTCGGCAGGGGGGCAGTTAGGGGGTGACCAGGCTGGTAGGGGAGCAGTTAAGGGAAGACCAGGCCGACAAGGGGAGGGGGGCAGTTAGGGGATGATGAGGCCAGCAGGGGGGCAGTTAAGGAGTGACGAGGCTGGCATGGGGGCAGTTAGGGGGCGACCAGGTCTGCAGGGGACCAGTTAGGGAGCGATCAGGCCAGCAAGCAGAGGCAATTAGGGGCGATCAGGCCGGCAGGGGAGGGCAGTTAGGTGGCAATCAGGCAGGCAGGCAGAGGCAGTTAGAGGCAATCAGGCAGGCAGGCAGGCAAGTGGTTAGGAGCCACCGGATTGTGAGAGGGATGACCGACTGCCGGTTTAGGCCCCATCCCACAAGGCTATTCTTTATATTTTTAACTAGAGGCCTGGTGCACGAAATTTGTGTGTGTGGGGGGGGGGGGGGCATCCCTCAGCCCGGCCTGCACCCTCTCCAATCTGGGACCCCTCAGGGGATTTCCAACTGCCGGTTTAGGCCCCATCCCGCAGGGGTGCACACACAAATTTCGGGCACCAGGCCTCTAGTTAAAAATATAAAGAATAGCCTTGGCCAGGTGGCTCAGTTGATTGGAGCATCAATCTGTGCTCCAAAAGGTTGCCAGTTCAATCCCTAGTAAGCGCACATATCTAGATTATGGGTTCAATCCCCGGTTGGGCACATATGGGAGGCAACTGATCTATGTTTCCCTCTCACATCAATGTTTCTCTCTTTCTCTTCTCCTCTCTCTCTCTCTCTCTCTCCCTTCCTCTATTCTAAAAAGAAAAAAAAATCAATAGAAACATAGCCTCAAGTGAGGATTAACAGGAAAAATAAATAAATAAAATAAAAAATAAAATCATATGATTATCTTAATGGACACAAGAAATCATTTGACAAAATTCAACATCAATTTATGATAAAAACTCTCAACAAAATGGGTATACAGGCAGCATATCTCAACATAATAAAAGTCACATATGACAAGACCATAGCTAACATAGTCAATAATGAAAAGCTGAAAGTTTTTACTCTAAAATTAGGAACAAAACAAGGATGCCCACTTTTGCCATTTTTACTCAACATAGTATTGAAAGTCCTAGCCAGCACAATTAGGAAAGAAAAAATAAAGAGCATCCAAATTGGAAAGGAAGAAGTAAAAGTGTCATATTTGTGGACAATATAATTTTATATAGAGAAAATGCTAAAGACTCCACCAAAAAAACTGTTCAAATTAATAAACAAATTCAGTGAAGTTGCAGGGTACAAAATCAATATACAAAATTCTGTTTTGTTTCTATACAATAACAACAAACTATCAGAAAGAGAAATTAAGAAAACAATCCCATTTACAATTGCATCAGAAAGAATAAAATACCTAGTATTAAACTGAACCAAGGTGGTGAAAGACCTGTACACTGAAAATTATAATGCACTGAGTGAAAGAATCTGAAGACGACACAAATAAATGAAAAGATATTTCAAGCTTATGGATTCGAAGAATTAATGTAGTTAAAATGTCCATAGTACCCAAAGCAATATATAGATTCAATACAATTCCTATAAAAATTCATGACATTTTTCAATGAAACAGAACAAACAATCCTAAAACTTATTTGGAACCATAAACACCCAAATAGCCAAAGCAATCATGAGAAAGAAGAACAAAGCTAGAGGTATCACACTCCTGGATTTAAAACTATATTACAAAGTTATAGTAATCAAAACTATATGGTACTGGCATAAAAACAGATACAGAGATCAATGGAACAGAATAGAGACCCCAGAAATAAACCCACATATATTACTTCATGACAAAGAAGGTAAGAATATACAATGAGGAAAGGACAGTCTCTTCAATAGATGGTGCTGGGAAAACTGGACAGCCACATGCAAAAAAGAATAAAACTGAACTAAGAATAAAATCTTACACCATACAAGAAAATTAACTCAAAATATATCAGACTTGAATGTAAGAATGTAAGACTGAAACTACAAGACTCCTAGAAAAAAAAAAAAAAAAAAACATAGACAGTAAGTTCCTTGGTGATAAATTTTTGGATCTGACTCCAAAGCATAAATACACAAGTGGGACTACATTAAATTAAAAAACTTCTGTACAGCTAAGGAAACCATCAATAAAATGAAAAGGCGATGTACTGAATGGGGGAAAATATGTACAAATCATATATCTGATAAGGGGTTAATATCCAAAATATATAAAGAACTCATACAACTAAATAGCAAGAAAAAAAAAACCAAAACTTTTTTTTTTTTATGAGCAGGGGATCTGAAGAGCCATTTTTCCAAAGACATACAGATAGCCAACAAGCACATGAAAAGATTCAACATCACTAATCATCAGGGAAATGCAAATCAAAACCAAAATGAGATATCACCTCACACCTGTTAGAATGGCTAGGATTAAAAGACAAGAAATAACAGGTGTGGACGAGGGTGTGGAAAAACAAAACCCTAGTGTACTATTGTTGGGAATGTAAGTAGGTGCAGCTACTGTGAAAAATAGTATGGAGGTTCCTCAAAAAATTAAAAATAGTACTACCATATGACCCAGCAATTCCAATCCTGGGAATTTATCCCCCCAAAAATAAAAATACTAACTCAAAAAGATATCTACTGCCTCATGTTCACCATAGTATTTACAACAGCTAAAATGTGGAAATAATCTAAGGGCCCATCAATGGATGAATGGATAAAGAAGATGTGAGACAGATATATATGTATGGACTTCTACTCGGTGATTAAAAAAAGAAGAAGGAAGTTTGCTATTTGTGACATGGATGAACCTTGAGAGTATTATGCTAAGAGATAGACAAATATATGATTTCACTTATATATGGAATCTAAAAAAACAAGAACAAAACAAAACTCATTGATATGGAAAACAGACTGGTGGTTACCAGAGGGGAGGGGGCTTGAGGATTGGGTAAAATGAGTGAAGGGGGTCAAGAGGTACAAATTTCCAGTTATAAAATAAATCAGTTATGGGGCTGTAATGTACAGCATGATGACTACAGTCAATAATATTGACTGCATATTTGAAAGTTGCTAAGAGAGTAAATCTTAAAAGTTCTCATTACAAGAAAAAATAATTATATAACTCTGTATGATGACAAATAGTAAAAAGACTTACTGTGGTGATAATTCAGATATATACAAATATGGAATCATTATACTGTACACTTGAAACTAATATAATGTTATATGTGAATTATAACTCAATTTTTTAAAAATCACATACTCTGGCTCAGTCAATAACAATTACTACAAAATCTGAATAAGACAAAAGTGAGACTGAGCAATCTCAGCTCTATAGGCATGCCCCTTTATAACATATTTTGGTCTTCAAGATATTGATCTAGAGATACTATTTTTAAAAAGTGATTTCAACATTGTCTTATGGATAAAATAAAGTTCATATTTACCTGTCCTTTAGCAAAGCCACAGAGAAGTCTTGAGCAGTCGTTGTTAATACTGAGGGCAGAGATGGCTCCATACTGACCTCCAACACTAGTGCTACCCAGACAGAGTCGCAAGGCTTGATTCTGATCTAAAGAAAGCAGTTTGTAAAATCAAGTGAAAGAAATGGAAGGAGTAAATACATATTTATTATAGGCTTGTTTTCAAAAACTTGGGAGGTACCAAGAATCAACTGATTAAGTTACATCATTTTAAATACATGTATTAAGCATCTACTAAAGGCTCAGCACCGAATTAGACACTAAGAATGCGGGGGGGTGGGGGGGAGACACAATATCCACACAGAAGCATAATACACAACTTGCTAATGATAAGTAAAAAACTCCATAAGAAACCTGTGTCTCTCCACAAACAACCCCTTTCATCGCCCTCATTCCATAATTGTATTTCTTGCTATTTTCAAGATGAAAAGTTACAGGGAATACCGCCTTTTTAAGTAGCTTTAAAAATTGAAAAATCAAATTTTATTAATTTAGAATTTGACTGAAATTTCCATTTCTATTACCCATGAAGAAAAGGTTTACTAAGCAAATTAACAGAACAAATAAAATTATAGTGTTTAACTACTTAACAGAATTATTTCAAGCATCAACACTTGATATGCTAAAAGCAAATAATTAAAATCTCTACTAGATTAAGTTATTTAAGGGCAAGGATTTTGCCTTAATCAACTCTGATATCTCCAGGAGGCACTCAAATATTTATTAAATGTTATTATCTAATAATTAAAAGAAATTTCTCTAGGGCGTCTCCTAGATAATGCTTATTTTGTATAGCATTCTTTACTGTACCCACTTGAAACCCATGAAATAAAAAATTTAAATATAATAAGGCATGCCTACAAAGTGTAACTTTAGAGAGGAAAATAAATAAATCCACCACACTTGCACAATCTGAAATTCTCTCAACTCCCTCAGCAATTGTTTGTATCACCCTTCACTAGTATTAAAAACAATACAAAAGGCCCAAAATGGAGTCACTTTTGCTAAGCCCCCTGTCACCAAACTAAGACTTAATACGTAATTAGTTTCGGTGTCTCCCAGGAATGGAATTTTAAACCAGTCAATCAGGAATTGCCTGGTCAGTACTAGTCAGGTCTGACAGACCCGTCATAAAGGAAGGTGACCTTGCCACAACCAATCTGCTTTTTGCTAGTATTAACTTCCTTGCTCCATTCCCTTCTGCCTATAGAAGTCTTTCATTTTGTATAGCTTCTGGGAGTTCCTTTCTATCTGCTAGATCAGCGATTTTCAATCTTTTTAATCTCATGGCATACATAAACTAATTACCAAAATTCTGCAGCACACCAAAAAGTGTATTTTTTTGCCGATCTGACAAAACAAAATAGGTATCATTTTGATTAATTCACATGGGATGGCTATTGTTGTGTGAGCTGTTGTTATTTTTTTATTTGACAATCTAAGGGAAAAGAGGTCAGTGCCCTGACTAGTCAGGTATTGCATGTTCTAAAAATTCTTACGTCACACAGGTTGAAAACTGCTGTGCTAGATGATGCTACCTGATTCATAAATCACTGAATTAAGCCAATAAGATCTTTAAAATTTGCTTAGCCAAATTTTATTAATATTATCTACATGCTACTTTTTGGAGGTAAATATGTTTTCCACTATGAGAATAAGACCTCTGTAAGGCAAAAGTTGTACGTGAATAAACACTCCCAGAATACTAGCATGGTGCCTTCCTTACACTCAGCGGCATCTGACAATTATCTGAACAGCGTCCACATTTGCAACTCTTCCTTTTGTAAGGGTAGTTATCAGAAACAGCCACAAAACATGCATTCTCAGGCCTAGGAAATATTATGTAAGTCCTTTTGCCCATCCAAAGTTAAATACTGTAAGAATATTTTTCTATGTTCATAAACTGGCTCAAATAGTAATTTCCACCTTCCCAAGGAATTCTGACACAATTGATGGCTGTATGGTATCTGCCACACAAAAAATACTTCTCATTTACTAAAATCATTTTAGATTTTAGCCTTCTATGATGAATATTCAAAAAGGAATAAAACTCATAAATATATAAGGGCTGATGTGTTTAAAAAGTCATTATCTTTATTCATATCTAGCATTATTACAATTACAGATTTTTTTTCTACTTTCCTTAATTACATACTTTTTCTTCCCTCCCCTAGTTTAATTCAAATTATTAAGATTTCCTTTATTTTCCTTACTCTAAATATGAAGTAACATTTTATTTTGCTTAACTGAAACTGTCTATAAAAACTGGTGTTTCCCATTATCCTTATCAGGGTTGCCTTAAACAGTCAGCAGATTATCCATACACCTTATTTTGCAAACTGTCACAATACAACGGTTGGGCAATAGTGTACCATACATACCACTTCTTTGGGTCATGCATGTAGGCAATGGATGAACTGACAGTTAAGAGGACAAAGGCAGAAACTCCATTCCAGTCTCACAAAGCCCTCAGAGTCTGAGCTCCTGCCTTCCAAGCACAAAGTCCTGTCTGAATAGAGTCCTGCTGGGATCCTCTATAATCACTGCTATGAGATCCAAACTTTACATAGTTCGGATCCACCAAACTTAGAGACAACCACTACTGCTTTCTGATTTAACAAAGTTCATACTTTAAATTAGACTAAGTATTATAGCTCAGGAAAAGTAAGAATAGGAGAATTAAAGTGTATGATAAAATAGAAAATAAAGGTACCATTAAGAAAGAGGAAACAGAGAAGAAAAGAGGAAAGGAAAAAGACAGTACGTGATTTGTAGGTTAAAAACCCAAACATGACTCTGCTTTCCTGACTATGGGTCCCCTGTACTGAAAACTAGCTAGACAAGAAACCAATTATCAATCTTGGCCATTCCTGAAAGATGTATTCATTTACATCCAACAGGACTGTGTTAATAAAAATAATCTCAATTTTTTTTTATTTTTACAATATATTCATTATAATACATTATAGTGAATTATAATACATTGATAATGTCCCTTTATAAGATCACATGGCTATGAAGTGATGCACAATATATAAAATATAACCTATTTTAACTCCAAAAGATATTTATCAATTCTTATTGCTGGCTTTATACAATCTATTTTTACAGTACCATATTAACAAACTAGCTATTATAGAATTTAGACTAAATTCAGAAAAGGTAGATTTCTGTAGATAAAGGAAAACATAGTCTTATTGGAGCGGTTTCTTTGCTAGAGTTAACTAAACATTCTATAGTCCAAGTAATTCTGGACAATTCTGGGGAAAGGTACAAAAATAAAAATAAAACTTCTTTCAAACACTTAAATTCTGTAGTTACATGGACAGAAGCAAGAGAGATGAAAATCAGTGCTCTCTGCAAATTCAACTCTCCAGGGGCTCTTGATCTCAATTTAAATGTAAACATTCTATTCTCCCCCTACTCTCAGAAATCTCCTTTGTCTATCATTGGGGTGAAAAGATTAAATTAGTAACATCTAATTTCATTTACAAATTCACATAAAGCCACTTTTGGTTGGCACTGTCAACTTAGTTTTTTGTGTGTGTTAATTGGAGTGGGTCCTTATGAAGCAAATAGCTGGACAAGAAATAGGAAATGAAACTATCTTTTTTCCTATAAACTTCACAAAATTGGCATACAGCTTAAATGAGAAAAAGTACAAAATGGTATAAATGCAAGAGATTATTATTAACAATAAATAGATTACCAATTAATTAAAAGAACTTGTAGCCCAGGTATCACAAAAAGCACATTTATTTGACACTGCAATGAATTATACCTATTTCTTTTATTAGCATACCTTTCAAAGTATACTTCACTTAGGGTAGATCTCCTCAGTATATTCTGGGCTTAAGAGTAATGTGCTGAATAGCAAAGAAAAGTCACAAATAATGCATAAAGCCTATAATAGCTATCAAATCTAAATTTGAACATACTCCCAGAATTTTTCTTCTCTTTCCATGTACCAAAATTAACCCAATCCTCTATTTTTTTGCCCCTAATTTGTTTTAACTAGTTCCTAAAGACTGTCAAAGTAGGAAATACCTAGATCCAAGAAGGAATCAAATTTAATTGTGTGTGTAGAGCTCTACTGTTATTGGCAGTATTCATCATTCTTCAGTATTACTCTTTTCTTATCCTTTGAGTACATTAAAATATTCTCTAAGACCAAAGGAGAAGCAAAGAGATATTAAGAAACATTTTTCATCAATGATTATAAAACAGCAAAAACACTTTTACCTGACCTCCATCTAACCAACACACAGAATTAAAGTTCTCATTCCCTCTGTAAAGGTTACTGACTGAACCCAGATAACACTGAATCCCCTCGGCTAACTGGCTATTTTCCGGAATGCTGATCCTTACAAAGAGTCATTTTGTTCATTCCCAAACTTGTTCATGCCATTCATGCCACTCATGTTACTGGACTTTACAAACTTAATTAAAAATATATAAACTGATGAAATAGAATGAAAAAGAAAGGGCTATCATTTCCATGAAAACTAAATGAATGCTTTAGAGAAACTTGGTAAAGATAAATTGCTTTAAAAATTGTCATAAAATAGGATGTGTGCAAGATAACTGCAGAAGATTCAATAGAAGTTTTATGAAAACCTAGTATTTTGTATTTGATTAATTCACAGGTGTCTACACTCTTACCTCTTTTTTAAAAAATTAAAAGTGCAAATTTTGCATGACCCATTATTAATGCAGTTTATGCCAAAAAAGATGCTGCAGACCTCCATCTGGCAGATACAAACTCAAAGTAAAGGCTTTGGTATATATCAAAAGATTAAGGGGGAAATGAATATTTATATATTTTCAGTTAAAACATCTAAGGTATGCATAAATTTATCATTTTTAACAATTCTCTGTTTTAACTTTCAATTAGCTGGTTTTCTTCATAAGAGGGCACTGACTAATTGATAGCATTCTCTTTCAAAATTAAAAGGTCAAAAGAGAAAAAGTCACTCATGCAAACCAAAATTACTATACCTTTTCCTTTGAATCCATGGAGAAAAGATCAAAAGAGAGAAAGCAAGAGATCAGATCAAAAGTTCAGAGAAAAGACAGGTAAAATTTCAAGAGTTTAAGTGACAAACTAAAGTTATCTATAAGAAGGATACTAATTGTGATTAATTGATGTCTCTAGAGTTTATGGTTATATTCGGGTATTGGTTATTGGAAAAGAGAAAAGACATAACATTCAAATTACAGCACAGTAAGTAAATCCAAGTTCATTAGGTTTGATAAAAACAAAATTAATTTTCGTCCTGCCTGGGTGGCTCAGTTAGTTGGAGAGCCATCCTGTATACTAAAAGGTTGGGGGTTCGATTCTCAGTCCAGACACATACAGAAGGCAACCAATCAATGTTCTCTCTCACATTGATGTCTCAATCTCTCTCTCTCTCTCTCTCTCTCTCTCTCTCTCTCTCTCTCTTTCCCTCTCAATTGATATTCTCTCTCACAATGATGTTTCTCTCTCTCTCTCTCTCTCTCTCTCTCTCTCTCTCCTTCCATCCCTCCCTCCCTCCCTCCTCCTTCCCCTCTCTAAAAAAACAAAACTACCCCCCTCCCCCAAGAAGACAGTCTACTAAAGTATGCTAGCAACCTAAAAAATGGAAAACTAAGGACCTTGGGATAGGGAAACATCTTTATTAATATTTGAATTTTTGAGATCCTCATATAGGTAAGATCCAAGATACACAATAAATGCCATATATCTATAATTCCATACGAATAAGCAACATAGAAGTAGACACAGACACGGGGGCGGTGGGGGTTTGCTCAGGGATGGGAGTGGCCGGGTGAGGGGGATCAATGGGGGGGGGAGGAAACATACGTAATAGTTTAAACAATTAAAAAAAAGAATAAACAACATACATCATTCTTTATAAAGCTTATAATGATTACTATTTTAATGTCCCAGGTTACTATTCCAATGGGGAATCTATTACTAATTAAACAAGTATGGTCCCAGGTTACTATTCCAATGGGGAATCTATTACTAATTAAACAAGTATGGTCTTCCTTCTACATTTTATCCTATCATCAATGAAGATGTTTAAAACAATCAGCTTTAACCCAAGTCTTCAATCCAGACACTTCATAGTATTATTATTCTACCCAGGTTCTCAAGCAAATTTAATCAATTTGTTAAAACTCATTGTCCAAATATATGATTCTTACAAAAATGAGTAAAATTTATTAACACATAGTTAAAAACCCAAAGCACAATCAGAATATTAAGATTCTTTCTCAAAGTATTCACTCTAGAATACTTTCTTTTCCATTAACTTATAATAAGACTACTATTTCATCAGAAAGCTGCTGGGATTTAAGGAAAATTAGGAAGCATGCCCAAGGAAATTAAGGAGACATTAGCAAAAGATAATATACTCTTCACCGTTGTTAGTTTTTGTTTTAATTATATTCATTTTAATTTGTTGCATTAAGCTCTACATGGGTTTGATTATAAGCAGGTACATATTCTTATAACTTCGTGGTAAGGAGGGAATGTTAAAACAGATCGAGTTGAGGAAAAGTAATGGTAAGTGGTAACAAAAACTCAACATTCATTCTGCTGACAGATAAATATATGCATTATATTCTATCCACTTTCACTTTAGTTCTTCTTTTCTTCATATATCTTGGAATTGGCCTCCTTTTCTCTTAGGACAGGAGAATTGCTCAGAATGAGGGGGCATGCACTGATCTAGGATTCCATATTCCTTGATTCTAACCTTGGCTTTGTGCATGTCACTTAACCCCTCTGGTTCTCAATCACCTCATATGTAAAATAAGGGGACTGAACTAAATGACCTTTTAAGATCCTTTCCCAAAATCCTATCAATTCAATACCCGTTATGGTCCCCATAGGAAAACAAGCATTCCTACACCTGATAGTTGGTAAAACTTTCTGGAAGGCAACGAGACAATACATATTAGGCATGTTTAAGATGTTCATACCCTGACCTGGGATATGACTTAGGACTTTTAGGAATTTGTTCTAAGGAAGTAATCACATGTACAAAAATGCAGTAGCAAAGATGTTTACCACTATACTGTTTGTTTAGAAACAACCTAAATGTCTTATAGTAGGAAATTATTATGTAAATTATGGTAAATCCATCTAAAATAATATTATGTAGCCATTGAAAATAATGTTACAGATGAATATATAATTACATGGACAGATGTTCACTATAATGAAAAAGCAAGTTACAAATTACATGATCTCATTTGGGGGTAGGTATATGCACACAAGCACACACACATGCGCGCGCACACAAACACACACACACACACACACACACACAGAAAAAAATTAGAAGGCTATATACAGAAATGCTAGGGACTATTCCTGCATGGGAGAATTTGGTATTTAATATCTTCAACCTTTTGCTCACCTATGTTTTCTAAATTTTCTATTATGAACACATATCAATAATGGAATCAGAAAAATATTATTTAAAGAATAAATTTATAATTCTCTTGAAAGAACCAACCATATTTTTCATTTCCATTCTTCTCATCTCCAAACAATAAAATTCATATTTACGTCAATCACCTTTGAAAACACTAGGTATAAAAATCACATGATAAATAAGGCTTTGGGCATAATAAAAAATTTTATAAATAGGAAACTAAATTGTTCAAAAACAAGGGAAAATAACGAATCCTATATAATAAAGAGCTAATATGCTAATGGTCATGACGCCCTCACGCCATAACGACTGTTCAGCAGGAGGCTGTGTGCGAGGCAGGGCAGAGTCACTGTGTTGCTCCAGAGACAGGACAGAAGTGGGGAGGCGCCCGGAGGAGGCGGGCCCATCCCATGGTGGGGAGGGCGGAGGTGAGAGCCCATAGCGCCCCGACCTCACCAGTCCTTCACCACCCACCACTCGCATTCAGAGCACCCCGCCGCCCACCTGCCAAGGGAAGGAGCGCAGCGCGCGCACCACCAGGAAGCGGCGCTCGAAACTCTGCAGCAGATGCGAGGCTTCCACGCTCTCCTCCGGCGCCAAGATGGGGGTGGAGCCGCCACGTTGCTCCCGAGATGGGCAGAAGCAGGGAGGCGCCCAGAGGAGGCGGGACCAGCCCGAGGCAAGTCTCGGGACCAAGGGCGGGGCTTGAAGTGGCCAGAGAAGGCCGGAGGGGGTGGGGGCAGGGCCAGGCTCACTTGAGGTTAGGGTGTCAAGGCTGGGGGGCGGGCAGGTGAGCAGGTGGGTGGGGTGTGCGTGGATGGGCGGGGCCACATGATTTCACACGCTGAGCCTCTAGTATAGTAAATAAAGATGTAAGGCCCACAAAGACCAAATTGTGGTTCTGCTATTAAAGTATCCCCCAGTAATCCTTCTATAATATCCTGTGGATTTCTTAATGAAATACAGTGTCATCAGGAACTCCATTTGAGATGAAAAAGACTTAAGATCCAGAGAACACTAAAAATGACAGAAAAATGTTTATAGTTTTTAAATTAAAAAAAAATGTTCTTCTAGTAGTGTTGAATTCAAAAGCAAAGAAAGATTAATGAAACAGGGGTTAGTCTCAGACAGGAAAAAAAGTGAGAAAATAAGTAAGATTAACCTCTTCCATATAAATGAAACTAGTTAAGTTCTTGTCTCAACCAAGAAAATAATTTGATTAAGGGCTAAAAAATTTATCAGTTTATGGTAGGGGATTTACAATGGAAAATAAAAAGAATTTATTGTCAGTGAGAGTTACTAAAAATTACTGAGAATGCCCAAGAACCTCTTTCCTGAAGATCTTCTAGAATACCTATTACTCAGATATGAATTAGGATAAAAAAAATCACCCTACCACTCACCACCAACAAAAGGCAGACAATATCACAACCCAAGTTCCCTTCCAACTTCGTATTCTTTTTGTCTAGGTCTACAGAGAGTCAACAGGTATGACAGCTCATAAATTCATAAAGAAAATAAATTTGCAACAAGCAACAAAATGAAGCTGAGTCAAGTAACTTATAACTATAAAAATACTGCTGTTTTCAAGTTCTTCTGTTTTTTTCCCCAAGAAAATATAGTTCACTCTGTAAACTATGATTAAAAGGCATTATAAAACCCAAAAGGATACTTAATATTTAAAGTAAAGAAAGTAAGTACTTGGAAAATTTACCAAATATTAAAGCCAATCCATGAGATGTACCCACTGCTATCAGACTGGACACTGCCTGAGAACAAAAGAGAAGATTATATTTTAAGATAGTAGAGCAAGGATCTTGAAAGCAGAGCTGAATTTGTTGGTCTTCCTTCCTCTAGGCAATAAATGACATACCAACTATTACAAATAAGGAGAATTTCATCTAAGAGGCAAAACAGGAAATGAAACTCAGGACATTTTATTTCTGGGACTCCCTCTAAATTTACTCTAAGGGTAAGAATCTCAAACTAGTATATGTTCAACATAATAGAGAAAAGCATGACACTTAACTTCCTCTAAAGCAAAAATTCAGAGGTCCAGACAAAGTAAGAGGCACTAATGCTTCCCAATCAAGAATCTGCTATGAGGTGTGGAGAAGGGATTAGAAAGCTCTTCTCTAGTTTATTCCTAGGAGCCAAAAGACACCAGAAATGTTCAAAATTTAGCCGACTTCCTCACCATTTAACTAATAAAAGAGCTACAGGAGGCAGCTGGAACTAGTCAGGAAAAGAGGGCACTAGCGTGCTCTCAATATGCCCCAGTTCTCTATAATCACTTCACAGATTTACTTGGTAGGCCTGGCAAGAGGGTTCAGAGCTGTTAAATGTACTATTTACCGCAAAGTGATTTTACCAAATACTGTTTTCCACTCCCTATAACCAAAGGGAAGCCAAATCACAGAAGGAGCAAATTTACTTGGGCAGGGTAAAACCACATACAAATAAACCTGGAAAACGCTAATCATTATTCCATTGTGTGCTTGTCAAACAAAAGCCTGAAGAGTAATAATATACTAGAAAGAGAACAGTCAACAGGGATACATTTTAAATCTGGTTACTGGCAATAAGTGACTTATAAATTTATCATCACAATAACTTATGTAATAACTTTAAACATTAGAAAAATAAATCTAAGAAAACCCAATCAAATAGAAAGCTTATCTTTAAAGAATTATTTAAAGTATACTTACAATTGCTGTAGGCAACCCGGCATCTACTTTGTCCTAAATGAAATTTAGAAGAAAAAAAAAAAATACTTGAAAAGATATTCTCATTATAAAACAGAAAATGGTATAAGGCCTTTTCTTTACATAAACTTTAATCCAAATCAATTCAGACAGGACATAGCACCTTTGTTTTTGCCCGTAAGAGAAACTACAAAAGTTGTATATACCAACAAAATATCAAGAGCAAGAGAGTAAGATCATTTTATTTTACTTACTATAACAGATGCTTCAGGAACGGTACTGATTATAAATGAAAATGTAAAGGAAAAGAGAAAGAGGTTCCAGTCTCAATAATGTGAATAAAGTATACATACGATGGGTGAAAATAGTAGTACATAAAGATTTTAGAAAAAGAAAACATACACCAAAGATATTCTTCCTCTAAGTAGGAGTTTTCTATCCAGCAGATTATGCAATACCCCCTCAATAAAATCTGAGCAAGTTATATTCAGTTAGTTCTCAAGCATAAGAAAATCAAAAATAAAGTGCTAGTTCCAGTTCCTTACCAGTAACTGTATGATCCTGGGAAAGTCACCTAACCCTTCTGGATATTAGTCACTCATCTGTTCAAGAAATAGCAAACACTGCCCTATCTATGTCAGTGAGTTGTCCCAAACTAATATAAAGTATAATATAAAGTATCATATAAAGGGTATCAATTTGATGCTTCTATAGCTTTAAATACTAGTAATGGATTACAATGATTAGCACTGTAAGAGCAAAGAGCTTTCACATACATATATTACACTATTTGATTCTTAAAACTGGAGAGATAGATAAAACAGGTGGTATTATTCTGATTTTTCAAATTAAGAAAATAGAAGTTTCAAACAGTTTAACTGACTTGCCCAAGATCATTCAGCAAGTGATAGAACCATGTCTCAAACTCAGGGTTTCTAGGTTCCAACCAGGCTCTTTATATCACTTCTGCATTTCTTTTCTATCAGTGTGGTCAATTGGTTATCATAATCTCTCAGAAGGAAGAATCGCTTTTATCTGACTTATTGAGTTTCCCAGGAACTAACTTAAGAAACTTGCTCCAGTGCATAGGAATATGTATGAAGAGAAGCAATTACCAAGGTTGCTATGTACAATGTCCTGGAAGGCAGAATATACCCAACTTTGTATGGATATGTGTGTGTGAAGCCTGCCTGGCATAATGCTCAACAATGAAGCATGCAATAAATATTTGCTAAACGATTGATTTGTGTCCCAGACAGAGAAAAAGAGTGAGATATCAGATGAAGAACATAAACAATACTCAAAATGGAACCTGAATAATGAAATTAGAAGTCAGCTGACTTTAAAAACTAAAAACCACATATGTGGAAAGCATTTTAGAGATTACAGAATTTTAGTACTGGTGTTGAACATCTTAGGGTAGTGGTTTTAAAAAATCAGATGCGTCAGAATCACCTGGGATACCTGTAAAAATGCAGATTCCTATGCAGTACATCTGGGGTGATGCTAGAGACTCCAAGTCAGTACATCTGGGGGGATGCCAGGAATCTGCATTTTAATAATCATTCCAGGATATTCTTACACATTACACACAGTTTGCAAAAACATTGTGCTAAGGCATTTCTTTTATTGTAGGTGATCATTAAAAGAATAAATATCCTTTAAATTTTAATTTGAATTAATTTTAAATATAGTCACATGTCATATTACTTTGAAGAGGTTTCCAAAATTAAACAATGAAGTTCATAACTTTAAAAGTTTCATCTCTCCCAAGTGTTCTCCAGGCGTGGATTACAAAGCCCTGATGATCAAGGCCCCAGGCAGCCCTAATAACATCACTAACCACATGGCTAAAGGCATTACTGAACAACTATTCAGGAGAGATATCAAAAATATAACTAGCTTTACATGTTAATAAACCAACCATCACAGAAAAGCATACAATTTAAATTGAGCTGGTAATCCAGAATTAGGAAGGCAGAGTATGAAGACTGTCACAGGAAAAGCAGTTTTCATTTTAACATACCAAAGGAGCTCAGCCATAGCAATGAAATAAGAAGAGAATGCAAACACTCTGGGATTTATTAGAATTTTTTCCTCCTTTTCAAGAAAGAGGAGAAACCCTTTTAAATAACAGATTTATCTAATCATTGTTCAGTGTCTGAGTTTTAGTTCAGTCTCCATTATTCAAAATATTTTTAAAACTACACAGGTGGGTCAAATGACTGTTCTGGTTCATCTTGATTTTGAAAGGAATGAATTTCATCACCTACATAAGGATTAAATTCAGAAAACGTCATGGAAATGTAATCCTCAACAGGTGGTTCCCATTCTAGAAAATATGAGTTACTCTCCACCTAGAAGAAGAAGGACAAATGCCCAAGTTTCCTCCATTGCTTGACTATCTCTCTATTTAAATTGACTTCATGATATATGAGCTGGGTCAGGGTATACGAACTGCCCACAGAGAATACTTTTTCTTCCTTTTTTTTTTTTTTTGGTATCTGCAATAAGAGCTTTAATAACCTGAAAATTGCAATGCGGTTATGGTGTCATAATGCTACTTCTGTATCAATCTCTTACTCTCCTGAAAAATCAAAACTTTGTCCACATCAAATATACAAAATGCCAATTAAACTTCATGAAAAGAACATAAAAACACATCAAAGTTCTTGAGGTATGAATCTGTCATCATCATCATCATTATCATTATTATTATATACAGGATCTACATATTGAATTAGCAGACTAAAATTGAAAGAGTACATAAAACTATAGGCTTGGGGGAGTATCAAAGAAAAATTTGATAACACATACCAGAATCAGTGTCTATTGTCTTGATGAACTATTAAATATTTTTGCATTAACCCAGTGCTCTAAATCATTTTCAGAAAAGACCACAGATATTCTCTTCCAGCCATTTTCCACTGGACACGTCCACCAATACCACCTCCATTTCACAACAAAGAAACACTCGACTTGGAGCCAAAAACCCCAATTTTAAGTAATTACTCTGCTCTCTCCTAACCCAATGATGTAAGGCAAGTTAATATCACCTCTCTAAACCTGACTTCTCACTTGAAAATAGGACATGGCTTTCCCTACTTTCAAAGTTCTAAGAGTAAGTAAAATAAGGTACATGAAAAGACATTGTGAATTATTTTTTTTAAAAAAGAATCACTCAGTTGTAAAAGATTCTGAACAATCATTTCTCCATATGAAAAGACTAAAAGAACAAATACTAACTCACCAAATACACAAGATGGCAACTAAACTGAAAAGGAATTTAAAGAAAAGGCAGATAGTGTTTCTTTTAGGCTGGCTGCCATATTTCATTAGGCACACCCGAGACTCTGAGCAGACCTTTATTTCATGGCCGCACTAATTTCTATGTCAAGATGTGTAGCCATGTCTTGCGAGTCAAAAATAATCACACAAAACCATGAAAGCCAGATTTTATTTTTCTTAAGCCTCGAGCCAAGAGAAGTGCTGTGCTTTGTTTTATGCTCATTCCTACTTCATTATGCCATTGCAGGTTATAAAGCTGGGGGGAGAGAACAAAATACTTACAGCTGCAGACACTATCTGAGCAGAAATTCCCTTCAAAAGTGAATGTCGCATAACTGATCCATGGAGTGAAAAAGAATCAGGTAACCTCTTCTTCCTAAAAAGAAGAAAAAAAAAGCTTAAGAACAAAAAACAAAACTGAAAAGGCAGGGTCTCAAAGCTTTGAAAGAAACACACACGCACACACACATTAAAAACAAGAAAAGTGGAGAGGCATAAAGAGTCTAATAGTTCCACATTAAGATGTTGTATTAAACCCACATTGAACCTTAGAGAAGTCAGGCAGGAAAATGAAGAAAGCCGCAATCCTTTTTCACTGATTTAAACACTTCCATGCCCACCTTAATATAGCAAGAGGTTCTACTACTCACCAGAAGGTTGCCTATAGAGCACTCCTCCTGCCCTACATGTCTTCATCCCCTCAACCTGCCTTCTACCCTCGCCCACCTTTCTTGCCCTCCTCCTTTCTATAACCACCCTCTCCTTCTTCAGCCAACCACCTCAAATTCCCCATTCACTATTCATTCTCTGCTGCTCCTACTAACAGCTCCTTTCATCTACTCTACTCATCATCATACAAAATACAATTTTTAAAACTTTTACCAAACATTGAGCACCTACTCTATGTGACCAAAAGTATGCTCTGGAGATGCAAAAATAATCAAGTCCAGGTTCCTACTCTCAAGGACCTCATAGCCTACCTCAGTGATGGCGAACCTATGACACGCGTGTCAGAGGTGACACGCGAACTCATTTTTTTGGTTGATTTTTCTTGGTTAAATGGCATTTAAATATATAAAATAAATATCAAAAATATAAATCTTTGTTTTACTATGATTGCAAATATCAAAAAATTTCTATATGTGACACGACACCAGAGTTAAGTTAGGGTTTTTCAAAATGCTGACACGCCGAGCTCAAAAGGTTCACCATCACTGGCCTAGCTAGAGGGACTAATAAGTAGTTCACTGGTAAATGTAAGGACAGCCCTGGCTGGTGTGGCTCAGTTGGCTGAGGGACACCATGCTCTGAGAGGTCACCGGTTCAATTCCTGGTCAGGGCACATGCCCAGTTTGTGGGCTCAATTCCCAGTAGGGGGAGTGCAGGAGGCAGCCAATCAATGATTCTGTCTCACATCTATGTTTCTTTCTCTTCCTCTCCCTTCCTCTCTCTCTAAAAATCAATAAAAACATATTTTTTAAAAGTTCAAGGATAATGTTAGAGAAGAAAAATCAGTAAAACACTATAGAAATGAAATAAATCAGAATTTAATCCTGTTTATTAGGGGAATATCAGGGACAGCTATAGAAAAGAGATGTCTAATCTGGCTTTGATGAATACCTAGGAGTCTTTCAGGCTACAAAAAAGCACAAACAGAAATATAAAGTGTGTGGGGAGGGGAGGCAAGGTGGTGTGCGGGGGGGAATGTGAGTATACAAAATACATGAAGCAAGAGGATGGGGGAGAGATGCTTAGAGATTAGGTCAAAATGGTAAGCAGGGTCCAGACTGATGCCATGACATTATTATATAGGCAAAAAGAAGATGCCATCTCATCAAAAACATTTAAATTATGGTGGTTTCATGCAAATTTTAGGATTGTTTGTTCTATGTCTGTGAAAAATACCATTAGGTTTTGTTTTTTTTTAATTCTCACCTGATAGTATGTTTTTATTCATTTGAGAGAAAGAGAGCGAGACAGAGATGTGAGAGCCCTGCCTATTGTGGTTCAGTTGACTAAGTATCATCCTATAACCCAGAAGGTTGCTGGTTCAATTCATGGTCAGGGCACATGTCCAGTAGGAGGCATGAAGGAGGCAGCCAATCAATGTTTCTCTGTCACATCGATGTTTCTCTCTCTCTTTAAAATCAATGAAAACATATATAAAAAAACAAATAAATTAATAAATAAAACACTGATGTGAGAAACATAAATGGATTGTCTCCTGTAGGTGCCCTGACCAGGAATCAAACTCGCAACCTTTTGGTGCAAGGGTGGATGCTCCAATTGACTGACCCACCTGGCCAGGGCATCATTGGGATTTTGATAGGGATTTTATTAAATTTTTAGATGGCTTTGGGTATTATGAACATTTAACAATATTAACCTATTAACATGGGATATCTTTCCATTCATTTGTGTCTTCCTCAGTTTCTTTCATCAGTGTACAGTTCTTTCACCTCCTTGGTTAAACTTATTCCTGAGTACTTTATTGTTTTTTGATGCTATTGTAAATGGAATTGTTTTATTACTTTTTCTGACATTTTGTTGTTAGTATGTAGAAATGCAAATGACCCAAATTAGCCAAAGCAACCTTAGGAAAGAACAACAAAGCTAGACATTACATTTCCTGATTTCAAACTATATAACAAAGCTATAGTAATCAAAGCAGTATGGTACTGGCATGTATTCCAATGGGACAGAATTGAGAGCCCAAAAATAAATATGGGCAACTAAAATTTGACAAGGGAGCCAAGAACACTCAATAGGGAAAGAATCCTTTCTCCAATAAATAGTGTTGAGGAAACTGGATAATCATATGCAGAAGAATAAAACTATACCCCTATCTTACACCACTCACAAAAAATAAATGGATTAAAGACTTAAACATAAGACCTGAAACCATGAAACTCCTAGAAGAAAACACAGGGAAAAATCTCAACATTGGTCTTGGCAAAAAGCATTTTGGATATGACCCCAAAAGCACAAGCAACAAAGGCAAATATAAATAAATGGGATTACATCAAACTAAAAAGTTTCTGCACAGCAAAAGAAATAATCAACAAAATTAAAAGGCAATCTATGGAATAGGAGAACATATTTGAAAATCATCTATCTGATAAGGGGTCAATATCCAAAATATATAAGGAACTCTTACAACTCAATATTAAAAAAATAAACGATACAAGTAAAATTATGGGCAGAGGATGTGAATACTATAGTAGACATTTTTCCCAAAAAGACATACAAATGGCCAACAGCTATAGTACATAAAAAGATGCTCAACATCACTAATCATCAGCGAATACAAATCAAAACCACAATGATATATCACCTCATACCTATTAGGATGCTATTATAAAAAAGACAAGAAATAATTGGTGGTGAGGACCTAAGAAAAAAGAAATCCTATTGGTGGGAATAAAAATGATATGGCCATTATGGAAAACAGTATGAATATTTCTCAAAAAATTAAAAATAGAACTACCATATGATCCAGCAATCCCACCAAAGGAAATGAAGTCACTATATCTGCACTCCCATGTTCACTGCAGCATTTTTCACAATAGTCAATATAGGGAAACAACCCAATAGTCCATCTACAGAAAAAAGGATAAAAAAGATGTGGAGGGTGTGTGTGTGTGCAATATGGAATATTATTCAGCGATGAGAAAGAAAGAAATCCTGCTATTAGTGCCAAAATGATGGACACTGAGGGCATTATGCTACGTGAAATAAGTCAGACAGAGAAAGACAAATACTGTAAGATCTCATATGTGGAATGTAAAAAAGCCAAACTCGTAGAATAGTAGTTTCCAGGGGCTGGGGCTTGGGGGAAATGCAGAGATGTTGGCCAAAGGGTACAGACTTCCATTTACAATATGAATAAGTTCTGGGGAATCTAATGTACAGCATGATTACTATAGCTAACAATACTGTATATACTTGAAAGTTCCTAAGAGAGCAGATCTTAAGTGTTCTCACCACAAAAAGAAATGGCAATTATGTGAGGTGATGGAGGTGTTAACTAACCCTACTGTGGTAATCATTTCACAATATATGTATATCAAAGAATCACACTGTATACCTTTAGTCTACAGTGTTACATCTCAATTACATCTCAATAAAGCTGAAAAAGTTTTAAGTTATCTATTTATAGGAAACAGTGATGAACAGGTTAATATACCCAGCAACGGCCCCTAATCCACAAAAGCTGACAACCTAAAGAAGACAGCACTGATACAGGTGAAATTTAAGAAGAGAAGAAAAATACAGACAACTTTATCAACATTAAAGTTACACATGAATTCAATAAAGTATTTACATTATGCTTCCTCCACTTCTCTTTCCTTTTCATGTGCTCTCCAAGAATTTAGAAGGTGAAAAGCAGCCAAAATGAACTTACTTAGGGTTAAAAGTCCTTTTAACAAATCTTTAATCATCTTTGTGACTCTCCTCTGAACCCATTCCAAGGGAATGAAGGAATGTTGGAGCTGACCTTAGAGAGTGGGAAGAAGGGGGTGAGGCGTGCAGGGAACAGAAAGATGGTGAGTAAACCAAGCTCCATGTTTCTACACTGTGCCAGGTTTGATTTGTGCTCCCTTCAGGGGCTCTACTGCTTTTGGGGAGTCCCTGGCTGTTATTACAGCTTCCTACTGGAGGTGCAAAAGACGGTGGTCATAGTACCCATCTTTTTATCCTCTCTCCTCAACAGTGCCAAAATCTTTAGGGCCTAATACACATATTACTTCCACCTAAGTGGGGCTTCTACTTCCTATGCAGGGCTTCAGCAGACCATATTGCACTATAAAGAAATATTTAAATTTTAAATGATCAAATATTTCAATTATTTGCAATTGTGATTTCAATGAATACATACTTACCTTTTTAAGTTGGTCCTGTCACCACTATCTGAGCTTGCCACAGATGAAGTATCATAGGAGTGAGAATCAATAGTATCAATGTTTAACAATGTAGGATCCTCAAGAACAAAGGACTCATCTTCATCATCAGTCTAAATTGAAAGAATATGGATCAATAAATTCAAAATTCCAAAAAATCTGTACATCAGATAGGCATTAATAGGTTTCTCCAAAACATCTGCATGCTTATTTTTGCTTTACACCTCTTTTCCACGCATTGTTATTGACCAGAGAGGCATAGTACAGAATTAAATTTCAACTCTAGATAGACATCTTTCTACAAAAAGTTCACTCCAAAAATGTCTTTCTTGTAGCAGGAAGAAGGAGCAATTATGCAGATTATTGTTAGCTGCAGAATATTTCTTAAAATTCAAATTTGTATAGATGTGCTTCTAGTTAACTAACAGTCAATGGCTAATTAGAAGAAAACAAATACCACCTGACTATAAATAGTGCACAATGAGAAATATGACAGGCAACACAAGAAAGGCATTATGGGTTGGAAAGAGCATGTGCAAACACAGTGATTTCATAATATGGATTTTGTCCATGGAAAAAGAAGTAGTCCAAAATGACTGGAGTATATGAGGAGGAGTTGGAGGTGATGGTAGAAAGAAAAATAAACTATAACACAAATCATAAAAAGCCTTATATCCCATTGAGCTACGTGATAGCAGAGTCCATGTCTTTCTAGTCCACCACTGTATCCCTAGTGCCTAGTACAATACCTGACACATAATCAGTACTCATTTGTTTAATGAATTAGTGTCCTATATAGAGTAGGCAGTGGGAAGGCAACTGAGATTTTTAAGTGGACATACATCATAGGAACCATGTTTTAGAAAGATAAATGGGGCAGTGTGAAGATGGATGAGGGTAGAAGGGGGAGACTGAGGCAGGGAGACTATTAAGAACAAGAAGGCTATTGGAACATCAAGGAAAGAGAGGAGTCCAGCCTAGGAATGCAACAGAAGAGATCAAGAAAAAAAATAATGACAGAGATATTACTGAGATAAAATCCTAAGTCCGTGGTTATCATTTATATGGGGGGAGGGAGTTTAAGGCAGAAGTCAAAGAAGATTCCAAGGATTTCAGCTTGAGAAACTAGGCAAAAGGTGATATTACTGAGATAAGAAAGCAGAATGGCAGATAAAGCAGAATGAGGAGTTCAGCTTTGAATAAGTGGATTCTGAGTAACAGACATTAAAGAAAAATGTTCTGATCATAGCTTCTCTTTCAGCTGGACTACCTTCTGCCTTACCATTTCCATTAATGTTCTTAAGAGAGCAGTCCATACTCATTATCTCTACTTTCTCCACCCATTACCAGCTACTGACAACTACCCTTGCTGAAATTAGCCAAATCCACTGGCCTATTTTCAGTTAGTATGTTCTCATCCTCTATGCATCATTCAACACTACTGACCATTCCCTACTTGAAACTTTCTCTTCCCTTAGTTTCTAGTACATCTCTTTGCTGGTAATCCTCAAAGTTATGTGGTCTCTTCTAGCAGTCATGTTCTCTATTTTCTCCTCAGTCTAACCTTTAAATGATACTGTTCCCCAGGATTATATTCTTAGCACTCTTCCTGCTTCACTGACTGTAGGAACAAGCGAATCCATACCTATAGCTTCAAGTACAATGTCATGCTAATGGCTTCAAAATCTGTATCGTCAGTTTCAACATTTCTCTTAAGGTTTAGGCCAGCCGTGGGCAAACTACGGCCCGCGGGCCGGATCCGGCCCGTTTGAAATGAATAAAACTAAAAAAAAAAAAAAAAAGCCATAACCGGTTTGGCTCAGTGGACAGAGCATCAGCCTGTGAACTGAAAGGTTCCAGGTTCGATTCCGGTCAAGGGCATGTACCTTGGTTGCAGGCACATCCCCAGTAGGGGGTGTGCAGGAAGCAGCTGATCGATGTTTCTCTCTCATCGATGTTTCTAACTCTCTATCCCTTTCCCTTCCTCTCTGTAAAAAAAAATCAATAAAATATATTTTTTAAAAAAACTAAAAAAAAAAAAAGACCATACCCTTTTATGTAATGATGTTTACTTTGAATTTATATTAGTTCACACAAACACTCCATCCATGCTTTTGTTCCGGCCCTCCGGTCCAGTTTAAGAACCCATTGTGGCCCTCGAGTCAAAAAGTTTGCCCACCCCGGGTTTAGGCTCATATTTCCAAGTGCTTTTCAGATATCTCCACACACAAGTCTGCTAAGAACAGGGTTAAGGTTAGCAAGGAAATATTATGCTACTTGAGAGCTGTACAAGAATGGAACAACTGCTAGGAAAAGGGAAAGGAAATAATTCAGAAATCAGAACTATAGCGCAAAGGTCTTAAACAGGAGAGTCAATCAGAATCTTATTTGGTTTTCTTAAACACATGGGGACATAATTAAAGAAAATAGCGAAGTTAAGCCAGGGTTGAGAGCTTACAGGATAAGTTAAAGAAAAAGTTTAACAGAAAAGTGGACAAAAGATATAAAAAGGCATTTCACAAAACAGATATCCAAATGGCCAAATATATGTCAAGGTACCCAGTTTCATCAGTCTCCAGGGAATATCAGATTAAAAACTATGATGTGATACCACTACACACTTATACGAAGGAATGGCTAAGTGAAAAAGAAAGAAAAATTCAAAAGTTGGTAAGGATAGGGTAACCAGAACACCATATATGTGCTAAAGTATATATTATTACAACCACTTTGAAAAACCCATGGCAGTATCTACCAAGGCTGAAAATACCCATATCTGATGACTCAGCAATTCTACACCTAGGTTTATATCCCATAGAAATGTGTGTGTCTTTATGTATGTATGTATATACAGAGCTAAAGACATGAATGAGAATATTCACAGCAGCACTTTTCATAGTAGCCAGGAAATAAAAAGTACACAAATGCCCAGTAACATGAATAAATAATGGTATATACCAGTGATGGCAAACCTATGACACGCGTGTCAGAGGTGACACGCGAACTCATTTTTTTGGTTGATTTTTCTTGGTTAAATGGCATTTAAATATATAAAATAAATATCAAAACTATAAATCTTTGTTTTACTATGGTTGCAAATATCAAAAAATTTCTATATGTGACACGGCACCAGAGTTAAGTTAGGGTTTTTCAAAATGCTGACACACCGAGCTCAAAAGGTTCGCCATCACTGGTATATACATAAAAATTTTATATGGCAATGGGAATGAACAATTATATGCAAAAATATTACTAAATCTAAAGACATAATATTGAGAAAAGTAAGTCAGACACTCAAAAACACATAATGTATAATTCCACGTATATAAAGTTCAAAGCAGGCAAGCTAATCAATGGTGATAGAAGTTAGGATGGTTTGGGTACTGAAGGGGCACAAAAGGAGCTTCTGCTGTACTAGTAATGTTTTCCTTCTTCATCTGGGTTCTGGTTACATAGGGCGTTCAGTTTGTGAAAATTCACCAAGCGTACACTTATGATTTGTGCACTTTTTCTATATGTATGTTATACTTCAATAAAAAGTTCGAAAGAGCTTTCTGACAGCACAATGCAGCAGTAGGATTGAAGTGAAGCCAGGACTACTCTCAGAGAATGGGAGACTAAGAAGGATCAAGAGACATGGTCTTGATGAGGTTAAAGACCAGGTTTAATGGAAGGGAGTGGCAGGGGAGGTTGTTATAGTTAGAGAATGGAATTTGAAAATTAAAAACCTCAGAGATAGCAGTTTCAAAGGATGACAAGGCCTAGCAACATTATTTCATACCCTAAATTCTGAAATTTAGGATGTCTCAGTAATCTCTGCCTTTCCAACCTGTGAATATCTTGGATGTCTATTTCTTCCCAGCCTCTCTCCAGGTTGGTTTTGATGAACATCTGAACCCACATAGCCTAGAGCAGCGGTTCTCAACCTGTGGGTCGCGACCCCTTTGGGGGTCAAACGACCCTCTCACAGGGGTCGCCTAAGACCATCGGAAAACACATATAGAATTACATATTGTTTTTGTGATTAATCACTATGCTTTAATTATGTTCAATTTGTAACAATGAAATTGGGGGTCACCACAACATGAGGAACTGTATTAAAGGGTCGAGACATTAGGAAGGTTGAGAACCACTGTCCTAGAGCAAGTGCTTATTTAAACTTTCTACTTCTGCTCTTTTCATTTTTTTCTTCTTAAAAGTCATTTCCTTTAACACATTTGCCCCCCTACAGTCTTCATAATGTTCTACAACTTAAATTATTTTTACTTTCACTTATTTGCCTGCCTAGCTCCCTTGAGGTGTGAAGGCTGTTCAATTTCTTTTCTTTTTTTTTTTTTTTTTTACTTTTTAATAAATTTATAGAGTGACAGTTAAGAAAATTATATAGGTTTCAGGTATACAATTCTATAATACATCATCTATTTATTGTATTGTGTGTTCATCACCCCAAGTCAAGTCATCTCCCATCAACACTTATCCCCCGCCCCCTTTACCTTCTTCCCTGAGACCCTGCCCCATCCAATTTGCAGCCCCTCCTAAACTGTTTGTAGTGGCTTTTCCAAATGAATGACCTGTCCTAGCTCAGGCTTCAGACTTCCCTAAAATCTCTCAAACAAGCAGCAGCTGGCCTCAGCATGCCCCATACCTCTTGCTAAGTGGTCCCAGGCCCCGCACTAGCAGCACCCTACCTTGGTGCACAGGTTGGAATGGGCACTTCCAAGCCCAACACAAGTAGTGCCATCTGTAGGTCACGCTGTAGCTTGTGCCAACTGGCCCCAAGCAAAGCACAGGCAGTGGTTGACTTTGCACCTCCCAGGAGCCTCTGAGACAGTGCACCCTGTGGTCAGCTTCAGACTATAGCAGATTACAACCCCACCATATCCAGGAGCAACACACTCAAGGGTTGGACTGGATGAGCACCAAAGCCCCACTGAAGCAAGTCCTGCTCCATGGACTTGCTTGGACTTGCACAGCAGTTATTTCACTGTAGTCGCAGCTGTCCTCACAGCCAATTGGTCTGGGGGGGTAATCCCTCCCAGTGATGCCAACAGCAATCAAAGCTCAACTACAACAGGACAGTACACATAGCCACAAACAGGCAAACCTACAGTGTCCAGCTCAGGTGACTGGGGAAGCTGAGCCATTGGGAACTAGAGGATACCTACTACACAAGGCCACTCTACCAACTCCAGGAGACAAAGCATATCTACCTCATATATAGAAACGAACACAGGGAAGCAGCCAAAATGTGAAGACAAAGAAACAGGTCGAAAATGAAAGAACAGAAGAAATCTCCAGAAAAAGAACTAAATTAAATAGAAGCAAAGAAACTGCCAGTGACAGATTTTAAAACAATGGTTATAAGGAGGCTCAAGGAACTTAATGAAGACTTCAAGGAACTTAGTGAGAACATCAATGACATCAAAAAGGACCAGTTCCAGCCGTGGGCAAACTACGGCCCGCGGGCCGGATCCGGCCCATTTGAAATGAATAGAACTAAAAAAAAAAAAAAAGACCGTACCCTTTTATGTAATGATGTTTACTTTGAATTTATATTAGTTCACACAAACACTCCATCCATGCTTTTGTTCCGGCCCTCCGGTCCAGTTTAAGAACCCATTGTGGCCCTCGAGTCAAAAAGTTTGCCCACCCCTGAGTTAGCCCTAACCCAGTGATGGCGAACCTTTTGAGCTTGGCGTGTCAGCATTTTGAAAAACCCTAATTTAACTCTGGTGCCATGTCACATATAGAAATTTTTTGATATTTGCAGCCATAGTAAAACAAAGATTTATATTTTTGATATTTATTTTATATATTTAAATGCCACTTAACAAAGAAAAATCAACCAAAAAAATGAGTTCGCGTGTCACCTCTGACGCACGTGTCATAGGTTCGCCATCACTGGCCTAACCGGTTTGGCTCAGTGGATAGAGTGTCGGCCTGTGGACCGAAAGGTCCCAGGTTCGATTCTGGTCAAGGGCATGTACCTTGGTTGCGGGCACATCCCCAGTAGGAGGTGTGCAGGAAGCAGCTGATTGATGTTTCTCTCTCATCAATGTTTCTAACTCTCTATCACTCTCTCTTCCTCTCTGTAAAAAATCAATAAAAATACATTTTAAAAAAACAAAAAGGACCAGTTAGAAATAAAGGATACCCTAACTGAATTAAAAAATAATTTACAGGGATTTGACAGTAGAGGATTACAAGAATCAAACCATCGATTTGGAATATGAGGAAGCAAAAAACACCCAATCAGAAGAGCAAGAAGAAAAAAGAATAAATAAATATAAAGACAGTATAAGGAGTCTCTGGGACAACTTCAAGCATACCAACATTCACATCCTGGGGGTGCCAGATGGAGAAGAGAGGGAGCAACAAATTCAAAACCTATTTGAAAAAATAATGACAGAAAACTTGCATTACCTGGTGAAAAAAAAAATGGACATACAAGTCCAGGAAGCACAGAGAGTTCCAAGCAAGATGAACCCAAAGAGGCCCACACCAAGACACATCATAATTAAAATGCCAAAGGTTAAAGACAAAGAGAGAATCTTAAAAGCAGCAAGAGAAAAACAGTTACCTATAAGGGAGCACTCATACCAGTGTCAGCTAATTTCTCAACATTGTAGGCCAGAAGAGAGTGATAAGAAATAATCAAAGTGATGAAAAGCAAAAACCTACAACCAAGATTACTCTACCCAGCAAAGCTATCATTTAGAATTTAAGGTCAGATAAAGAGTTTCAGAAACAAGAAAAAGTTAAAGGACCTCATCTCCACCAAACCAGTATTACATAAAATGCTAAAGAGTCTTCTTTAAGAAGAAGGTCAAAAATATGAATAATAAAATGGCAATAAATACGTATCTATCAACAATTGAATCTAAAAATCAAAATAAACGAACAAGGAGTCTAATGAACAAAATAAACTGGTGAATAAAATTGAACCAGAGACCTGGAAACATGGAACAGACTGACAAATCTCAGAGGGAAGATTGTGTGTGTGTGTGTGGGG